ACCTTCATTGCTCAAACCAAATGACCCTCTCATGTATCTTAGACCTTAGCCTGACTCATTCATATTGAGTTGACTTGGTCAAATCATGTGGAATGGTCACCATAATGCTAATCGTGGTGTCATGCTTTCAAACACTAAATTTTTTAGACCTAATCCACTAGACCATGCCCAGTTGGCCTCTAAAAGTCCCTTAGGGTTTATCCTTGTTGGCTTGACTAAGTTTGTCCTGTTAAATTATCTAATACTTAAAGAATTTCACATTTTAATAAAATATCAAAAGGACATAAAATCCTTCTATAGTTGCTACTCTAGCCTACCTAGGAGTATTTCTAGAACCTTCCAACACCATCTCAACCCAACCTTAGGTTTTGTATAGCTTGGGTTCGATCCAATAGTCCCCCACAAGCTAAAATGACCCAAGGTTATTTTCTAGCTTTTAAGACCACTTCTTTCCTCAATGCTTGCCCCCTAACCATCTAATCCATATGGAAACATCCTGTTAACCTACTTGATTAACTGTAGCCCTTGAATAAGCATTCAGTGCCTGGGATAAGTAAAGAAGGAAATACCTTAGAACACACTTCATTTCCAAAGTAGTCGCTCTTTGATGAAACTCTCATTTTATTTGCCTTCCCTGTCCTTCCTCTATCTTTTCCAAGTAAATCCTAGGCACTTGGACATCGCCAATGAGAAGAACCAATGAGCTCTAACAACCTTTCTATTAATTCTCTGGCCTACCTTTCTTAAAAAAAGGTCTTCTCTTGGAGCTTAGGAAGTCAACCAATTAAAAATCCATAAAGTTTATGGCTTTTAGATATCCATAATGTAAAGTAAAGTCTAAACCATAATGCTAGAGCTAGGGTTTTTAAATTTCATTAAATTTATTGTATGAAGTCTCAAAACTTCATATAATAAAAGCTTAGGCATATATAAACCTCTACAAAACATTTCATGCGAGAATATAAAATCTATAAGTCATATTAAATTAGATAAAATTTGTCTTCCCATCAATCTAATGGAAGAAGATAAAATCTAAATAATCTAGCTAGTTCGTATTCACTTGGATGGTGCAGATTTCATTATAACGACATCAAACTAGTTGATCATAGACATTTAATCATTTAATAAAAAATCAAATACTTGATCCTTTGAGTTTAAGTGGGTAACCACCACCATTCCACTCCAATTCTGGCGTTCACCTATAAATTTTTGATCTAGCTAAGAAAATGATCATGTATTTAATTTAATGATTAAAAAAACATTTTATCACACGGAGTTTCAATAAATCAAAGAAAAAATTTTATGAAGCCAAAATTCATAAATTAAGGCTCTATTAATTCAAGAGAAGTGGTTCTTTAATATAAAATTAATTTCCAGTTGATTGGATAAGTATGTAGAATGATGAAATCAGCTTTCACTAAAGCCAGGGACCGACAGGATGAAGAAAGGGAAATAATTGTTTTCATTGATATGTCTAAGGGATACAAAGCTGTATATAAAGAAAACTAAAATAAAGAAAGTACAAATAAAGAAAGTACATAAATGACAAACAATACATTAGGAGACCAATATAATTTTGCCACTTGTACAAGTGGCTAATAGCCCCCCACAAACTCATGGGTGAGTGGCAACTGTGAGTTTGTTAGATAAGAATTTGAATCTGTGATTTGCCAGGACTTTGGTAAAGAGATATGCTATTTGGTCTTCAATACATATATGGTGAACTGAAATTTTGTTTTTCTTGATACAGTCCCGGATGAAATGGCAGTCTACATCTATATTCTTTATTCGGGTGTGGAATATTGGGTTATTAGCGAGGGCGATTGCAAATGTGTTGTCGCAGTAGACTGTAGTGGGTTAGTTTTGCAGTATATGGACGTCTTCTAGTAGTTGTCATATCCATAAGATTTTGGCAGCTTCCATGGCGTGTGCCCGGTATTCTGCCTCTGTGGATGACCAGGCTATTGTGTTTTGCTTCTTAACTTGTTATGAGATGATGGAGTTACCGAGAAAGTTACAATATACGGAGATGGACTTTCAATCTTGATTGTTGCTTGCCCAATCTGCATCAATATACCCTCGGATGGTTAAGTTGGTTTGGTTTAGAGGAATACCTGTTGTAGATGATCTGTGTAAGTAGCGAAGTAGTTGCTTGAGGGATTCATGATGACTGTTGAGGGGTTGTTGCATATGTTGGCATAGTTGTTGGACGCCGAATTAAATGTTCGGCCGGGTAATGGTTAAATATTGTAATGCTCCTATGATCTGTCTATAGAGTTTAGGATGCGTGTAGTTCTCGTTGGTTTTAGCCATGAGACTTGTCCTGCAGGAGATAGATGTTGCTACAGGTTTTGATTGTTCCATTCCATCTTGTTGGATAATTGATTTGGCTTATGGTTGTTGTAGTATAATGCCTGAATAGGTTTTGGTAGTGTGGATGCCCAGGAATTGTGATAGGGCGCCGAGGTTTCTCATCTAAAAAGTGGCATGAAGATTAGCTAATAATTTGTTTATTTCAGATTTAGAGTTACCTGTGAGTAGTATGTCATCGACGTAGATGAGCATGTAGATACGGATTGCGCTGTATTTATACGTTAGTAGCGAAGGATTGGATGCAGTGATTTTGAATCCGTAGTCGTGCAGGTGGTTGGAGAAGGTTGCGTACCACTCTTTGGGTGACAGTTTGAGGCCATATAAGGCTTTCTTGAGCTTGGAGACATGATCTGGATGCGTAGAGTCTTGAAATCCTGGAGGTTGTGCCATGTAGACCGTGTCGGAGAGCATTCCATGTAGGAAAGCATTTGAAATGTCGAGTTGGTGGATGATCCAGTTGTGGTGTAAGGAGATGAGAATGAGAACTCGAATTGTTGGCATCTTGGCAACTGGGCTGAACGTTTCGGTATATTCTATACCGTGTTCTTGATTGAAACCTTTAGCCACCAATTGTACTTTATGGCGAGCTATCAATCCGTCTGAATTGTATTTGATGCGAAAGGTCCATTTGGAGCCGAGAATGTCCATTAATGGGTTCGGTTGGATGAGTTCCCATATGCCCTGAGCTTGAAGGGCTTGAAATTCTTGTGCATTGGCGGAATGCCAATGTTCTTATTTGACTGCTTGGTTATAAGTTATAGGTTCGGATGGTTGGAGAATGTGAGCAAGATCAAAGATTTTCTTTGGGTTTTATAGTCCACTTTTAAATCGAGTGACCATAGAGTGGGTTGGTTTGGGAAAGGATGGAGGTTGAGCGGGAATTTGCTTAGTGCTTGGAATGATGTGAGAATGGCCGGAGGGGTGTATCGATCGTGACAGAGGTCTCCGAGTTTGTGAGTTGGCTTTGAGTAGTGTGAGTATTTGTGTGCTCGGTTTGCTTGGAGTGTGGAGATGTGTTGAATGAGTGGGGAATAACAGTGGAGTTTTGTGTGAGAGATTGCGGTATGCTGGTTTTGGGAACCAGCATTAAAGGCTAAATAGATGAAGAGAATTACAAGTGGATTGATTCATGGGTAGAGTAATTTGAGTAAGGAAAGATATTTTCATTAAATATTACGTTACTAGAGGTATATATCTCATTAGAATTTAGATCCAAGCATTTATACCCTTTTTGATCTTGGGCATAGCCGATGAAAACGCAAGGATGAGAGATGGGTGAGAGTTTGTGAGCGGTGTAAGGTTTAAGCCAAGGATAACAAAGGTATCCAAGAAGTTTGAGCTGGTTGTAATTGGGTTGCCGGTCGTATAAGATTTCATATGGAGATTTGTTTTGAGTATTGGGAGAGGGCATGAGTTGATGAGATAGTTAGCTGTGATGAGCGTGTCGACCCAGAGGTAAAGAGGTAGACAGGCTTGAATTAGGAGAGTTCTGTGGTTTCGATTAGATGCCGGTGTTTGCGCTTGGCGATGCCGTTCTGAGACAGAGAGTGCATGCAGGTGAATTGATGACATATGCCAGTGGATTTGCAATAAGTTTTGAATTTGTGATTAACATATTTACTGCCATTGTCTGTGCGAATTGTTTTTATCGGTCGATTGAATTGTCGTTCAACTAATTTTTGAAATTTGATGAACTTAGAGAAAACCTCAGATTTGTTAATCATGGGAGAAATCCATGTAAATTTCGAAAGATCATCTATAAACGATACATAGTATCAGTTTCCTTGAGTGGGTATAATAGAGAATGGACCCCAGAAGTCCTAATGCACTAAAGAAAATAGAGAATCAGTTATAGTTTGAGAAGGAAAAGTAGGGAGATGATGGCTTTTGGCCATTTTGCATGAGTTACATGAAAAACTGTTGAAGCAGTCTAGACGATGCTGTTGCATTTTGAGATAGCTACCAGAGTTTGCGCCGACAGGTGACCGAGATGATGGTGCCATAGGTCCGGAATGTGTTGAACATAGAGAAGAGCTAGGTGATCATTGTTGTTTAAATTGAAGTGGGTAGAGTGCATTAATAGATGGACCCATGAGAAGAAGGCGGTGGGTCATCCGATCCTTGATTTCGTAGCCATGGGGAAAGAATGTGATAAAATAATTATTGTCGGAGGTTAGTTGATGAACATATAGAAGGTTAAACGATAAGTTGGGAACGAGAGTGAGATGCAGTAATTTGAGGCTACCTGTGTGGGTGGGAAGAAGACCTTTACCCGTGTTTTTGATCAAAAGTTGCTGGCCATTCCCAAGAGTTACTTGACTGTTGCCGTGGTAAGATTGAGATTACTGAAGGTAAGTAGAATCCGAGGTTAGATGTGTGGTAGCTGCGCTATCAAGAAACCACTCCGAGGGGTTGGATGAGGTGGGAGATGTGAATAGAGTGATAGGGGGTTTGGTATTATATTTCTCGTCGTGACGATGCTAGCATTTGACGGCGGAGTGCCTAAATTTGCCACAGATCTGGCAAGAGATGGATGGGCGATTTGATTTACCTCCCCGGTTAGCTGACTGATTATATGGAGGTTTGCTATTGTTTCTTCCTCGATTATTTGATGAACATCCTTGGCCTCATCCACGGTTGGATGTGAGAGCAGTTTGATTGCTGGTGATGCTTAGGGAGTGAAGTTCTTTTGTTGTTTCATGGAGGAGGTTAAGCTCCTTGCTGCATAGGAGAGCGTAGATTTCGTCGAGGCTAACGGAGCGGAGGTTGGTGCGAATGGCAGTCTTCAATGCTTGGTAAGTGTTGGGTAAGCCGTTGAGAGTGTAATGGATAACATTTTCAACTTCAACGGGAGCACCTGCAGTGGCGAGAGCATCGACCTTGGATTTCACGTCGAGGAGGTACTAAGTCATGGATTTGTCTTTCATAGAGAGGTAGTGAAGCTGTTCTTGAGTTGCAAGAATCTTCCAGATTTCATTGCAGTGATTGGCGGAGAGGACGTAGGGAAGGATGGAGGGAAAAATAATGGGATATAGGGTAGCAGCAAGGTTTTGATCTAGAAGAAGCCAATTGGTATGATCGGTGTTGATGGTTTGATGGACATCACTATGGGAAATTCTAGGGGGAGGACAAGTAATGGAGCCAGTCAAGAAACCTTTAAAGCTATTTGCCCTGAATAGTTTGATGACTTGAGATCTCAACAGAGAATGATTGTCGGTAGTTAACTGTTGGGAAATGACATTCTTGATGTTGCTCATCAAGAATTTGAGAGAGGATGGAATTTGGGGGGAGGAGAAGGTACCTTCTGCGGTGGAGGATTCCACCTGGGTGGAGAGGGATGTATCGGTTGGGGAAGTCATCAGAAAATAATAGGTGAGGTAGAAGAACGAGAAATACCTAGTCTCGTGATACCATGTAGAAAGATGAAATCAGCTTTCATGAAAGCCAGGGACCGACAGGATGAAGAAAGGGAAACAATTGGTTTCGTTGATATGTCTAAGGGATACAATGCTGTATATAAAGAAAACTAAAATAAAGAAAGTACATAAATGACTAATGATACATTAAGAGACCAATATAATGTTGCCACGTGTATAGGTGGCTAACAAAGTACACTTTCATTAATTTTATGTATAATGCCTATTATTTTTCATTAAAATCCATTTAAATACTCATCCAATTAAGTTTAATTTTGGATGGTGTTTACTATGATGTGTTACCTACATACTGTAATTTTCATAGCACTAATTTAAGGCCCCACTGAGCACAATTGAATTTACAAATAATTGGGTTATATTTTGACACAAATGAGTGAAAATCAATTACAAGCAATCTATAGAGAGTTAGGGTCTGATTTTTGAATGATTAGTGTGTTTTTGTTTGTACACATCGGATTACAAGCCCTGTTGAGAACTCAATAGTACTAGGTTAATTAACTTATGTTTTTAGTTTTACAACCAAGAAAAATTATCAAAATTATTTTTCATATCAAATCGGGATAAAAATGAAACATAGTGAACTTAGTGAGATTATGAACCCTAAGAATTAAATTGGTGATAATTAGGACTCCTTAAGTCATGAAAAATGAAAAACCCTAATTTTAGCTCTAATTTTGGGCGTACAACAACTCTAAAATTATTTGGCCTTCTTGGAGTGACTGATGTGCTTGTAAAACTAAAAGAAAAAATATAACAACTTTGAAATCTTTTGGCCTTCTTGGAGTGACTGATGTGGGATGCTGGAACAAGGTGCCTTGGGCAGTAAAAATATCAATGACTTATCTCATGCTTTCTCTATTAAGCTGTGGTTTAATTTTCATGCAAAACTGAGCCTTTGGGCTATATATATATTAGAAAACTCGCTTTGGGGCCTAAGCATTAATATAAAAATATATTACAAGGTCCTTAAAGGGAACCTTCAGCTCGCTAATGCTCGAGCGAGCTACAAAAAAATTTTGAAAGAAAACCTTTGATCCAATGGTTAACTAATTTAAAATATATAAAATAACCTATTGACATTCTAGGGCGACCAAAAGCTTGCACCAAAAAAAGGAAGAAAGTAATCAAAACTTTCAGCTCAATCTTCCTACAAAAAATTCCCATCTTGTCCACAAAGTCCTCGATTCCTTAAATTTGCAAGAGAAACAGACTGCAAAAATAAACCATGCATAACAAGATATAGAAAGGATTATAAATTATCTAGAAAAGAAACCAAAGTAAGAAACACTTAGACATATTATATTCATTAGAGAAAGGGAATAGAATAACATTGAAACAATGATTAATATAAGAAATAGAAAAACCAAAATGCATACACATGTTAAGACCAAAGTAAGTGAGATTCGACAGCAATAAGAGCCTAGAATGCAACCATCTATGCGAAAAAACAAACATGCAAAGACCCAATAGTGCTTTTGGTATGCTATGTCTGAAAATATTACTAGGAGAATGAAATACCTGAGCATGCCATGTCTCGGGATAGATACCAGTCATTCAAGCCATTCCCTTTCTAGCCATACACATTGTGACCGAAAGAACTAGACAGATAATAATTGAAGCTCGACTAGTGACACTTCCATCTGAAAAAGAGAAACTAGAAAATGGGGCAACAGTATGAATCGGACCCCCTAACTTGTTAACAGTAAAAATAAAAGTCCGAGCCATCTTGTAGAGATAACAACCCAATGCCAGTTGTAAGGAAAATAAAGCCAGTAATAAGTGTGCCCAAACTAGAGGAGATAAATTTAACCAACAAACAAAAGGCCTCAACAATAAGAACATTAAGTAAAAAATAGAGAGATGAATCAAACAGAGAATTAAAATAGCTAGCAAGAGTAAAATGATAATATAAAAAGAATGATAGACACTGCAAAAAACAAATAGGCAAAAACACAAAAGAAAGAAACTAAGATACTCTAATATACGAGATGCCCATAAAATCAAGCCTAGCTAAACCCAAAAGCCTAGGCAAAAGAGAAAACTCCACAAACCCAATAAATTCAAACAAGTTACAACCCAAATCAGTTAAAAAATTAGTAGCTGCATTTCCTTCCCTATATATGTGAGTTATAGAAAAATTGATAAGAGACAACCATTGTTTAATCTTTCTAATTGTATAGAAAAAAGAAGGATTTATAATGAAATTATCTGGATCACAAGCATAACATAATTTTTAATCCAAACATTAGTAATACCAAGAAAAATGTATAATTGTAACCCATAGTTTATAGCCAGAAATTTAGCCATAATAGCAATGTTGATATTGAAGGGACCCACAAAAGCTTTAAGAATATGTCAATTGAAGTCTTGGATGATACCACCACAACCAGTTTTCACACTTTTAAATATGCCATCAATATTAAGTTTGTAGCAACCCACATGAGGTTTAATCCATTTAACTATAATGTCTTTAGAGGAATGGCTATTAGTTGCACCATTAATACCAAAATGCTCAGCAACTTGAAAATAGTTGTTAAAAATAATCCAAATTGATTAACTTAGCCAAATATAATTATCTCACTGTCCTTAATCTTGAGGATAATGATTGAGACTTTCATAGTAATGTTCTCGTGCTTTGCCTCATTCCTTCTTTCCAAAGGAACCAACAAATAATGACTGGTAACACATTTCAAATATGCCACTTAGTAGGAACCACCCAATCATGCATGATACTATTAATGTTGGAATAAGCCTTACAAAATTGAGAATTAAAAATATTGCCAAAATTTAACCAAACCTTGAGAGCAATAGGGCCATTAACAAAAACATGATTGAAATTCTCAATATGATAACATCATTGGCATTTGGAAGAAATATAAAAGCCTTTTTTCATCAAGATAGTATCAATAGCCATGCAATTGTTGAAAATTCTCCACACTAATATGGAATAGGAAGCTAGAATACCTTTTTGCCAAATTGAAGAGAAAATATTATACTTAGGTTGCAAATTCATAATAGAATGCAAGAACAAAAAGATCCCATCATTAGGCTTATTAAATAAAATATAATTTTTCTGGTCAAGTTGTAAAGGCGCTTTCAGAATGAGATTAATGAGAAAATCAGGCACCATTATAGCAAGGTAATTCAAATTCCAAGTCCCATCTTAAATAAAATGAGCCACTTTATAAGCACTACTAGTATGAGTACTGAGCAAACTATCTATAAAGGAGAAACCCATCCAATTGTCTTACCAAAAAAAGATGTCCCCACACCCCAAACCTCATTGAATGAAATTTTCAGTATCCTATTTAATAGAACAAATCCTTTTCCAATTGAATGAATCCCCTTTTTTGAAAAAGCAATTAAGAGGATGCTTACCAACATAATATTTAGAAAATCATAAACTTCAACCGAAGTCTATTTTTAGGCCTTAAATTGAACCGAGTTTATAATAAAAACCTAGAACCATGTCACTCTTAAAACCCAACTTTCCTTATACTTGGACGCCAGAACATCTATCCTAAGATGACAATAAAATAACATATTTACCTTCTTTTGCTCCCTAGAGGAATTTGTTAAAAATTATTTTAAGTATAGTGCAAATATTCCCACTTGGATATAATGTGTGAAATAATTATATAGGAATAGAACAAAGACCACTTTTAATTAACAAAAATCTTTCCCCAAATGAAAGAAAATTAAAGGCCCAAGTAGAAAGCTTTTTGTGAATATTAGAAAAAATGTCCCCAAATAAATGTGATCTCTTTTTTCCTTTAAAAAGAGGGTGCCTAAGTATTTAAAGGGTAATTACTTATGTTAAAAATTGAAGTTTTCCTAAATAGAAGAGATTCTGTGATGTGTTATAGATTTAGCAGTGATAAAGCAACTTTTCACAGTATTAAAAATTAACCAACTAGCCATGTGAAATTGACTAAGAAATTTAAAAAGGACATTAAGCATTTTTTTGGACCAATTCTTAAAAATAATAAAATCATCAGCAAAACTTAAATGAGACACAAAAAAACTACCAATGATATGATAATGTAAAGTAGGGTGTTTTCTATAAAGTTCATTAAGACCTCTTGAAATAAATTCAACATTTATAATAAACAAAGCAGGGGATAGAGGATCCCCTTGCATAATACCATGTGCAAAGTTAAAAAAACCATGACTCCTACCCTTGATAATAACAGAGAAAAATTAGTGTTTAGTACTATTCTTCATGATCCTAATAAAGTCATTATTGAAACCAAATAAATTACACATAATGTAAAGAAATTCATAATTAAGATTATCATATGCTTTAATAATATCAATCTTAAAAATCATATTTCTTCCAGCAAATTTAGCCTCCAAATCATGCACAAGCTCTTGAGCTAATAAAACATTATGAAAAGTAGATCGACCTTTAAGAAAACTAGTTTGTTCAAGAGAGATAATAATAGGGAGAATTAAAGTAAATCTAG